AAGAACCAACTATGTTGTAGCAATTAATAGTACTTTACTAATTTTTGTGGCTGAATAATATTCAACTGTATGGATATAGTATACTTAGTTTATCCATTCATCAGCTAATGAATATTTGGGTTGTTTACAATTTGTGACTATTATGATTAATTCCACTGTGAGCATTTGTGTACACATTTTTATGTGGACACGTTTTCATTTGTCTTAGGTATATACCTAGGAGTGGAATTGCCGAGTCTTATGGTCACTCTCTAATCATTTGATGAACTGCCAGACTGTTTTCCAAAGGGGCTGTGCCATTCACTGTACTTCCCACAAGCAATTTGGAAGAGTTCAAATTTCTTCACATCCTCACCAACAATAGTTATTTTCCTTTTTTTTTTTTTTCTTTTTTGAGACAGAGTCTCGCTCTGTTGCCCAGGCCAGAGTGCCATGGCGTCAGCCTAGCTCACAGCAACCTCAGATTCCTGGGCTCAAGTGATCCTCCTGACTCAGCTTCCCAAGTAGCTGGGACTACAGGTATGCACCACCACGCCTGGCTATTTTTTTTTTCTGTTTTTAGTAGAGACAAGGTCTTGCTCTTGCTCAGGCTGGTCTCGAACTCCTGACCTTAAGTGATCCTCTAGCCTCAGCCTCCCAGAGTGCTAGGATTACAGATGTGAGCCACTATGCCCAGCCATCGGTCAGTCTATTGTTTTCTCTGATTGTTATTTGTTGCCTCAGACAGCTACAACATTAAAACATGTGCCTATGAATGTTTTTTAACAAGCATCCCCTGGAAAGAGACTTTTAGCATTGGGAAAGCTATGACTCAGTTCAAATAAAGACAAGCCTTTCTAAGAGGTCTTCTAGGGAACAACCAGACAAGTCAAATAATGACAATTTTTTGGAAGTGAAGCTCTGAAAAATCTCCAACTCCATCCTGCTCCGTCCAGTTCTGGGAATGTGGCCTATTATATTTCAAGACTACTGCTGAGCTTGGGAGCAGAGGAAGGAGCCAGGATAAGTTAAAACACCACAGTGTTTACTATTCTTAGTGATATTCAGCCATTTTCCTTGAATAAATGCTCCTTGGCTTACTACAAGACTGGTTGATTCCAAAGTTCTGAAAAGTTGATTCTGAAAGTTTTTACCAGTTTTTTCATCAATTTTTTTTAATGAATGGTCAAACTTCCAGAGATCCTTATTCTGCCATTTTCTCTGATGCTACCCCCTTATTACTTGTTTTTTTTTTTCAAGCAGGCAATTTACTTGGTTGCAATCAAGTTCCAAACTTTATGGGAGTGTTAGCAAAGCTCTCAGTTTCACTTTTTTGGCTTTAGATGGGTTGCATCTGCCACATACATGCATAGTTCAGGGTGAGCCAGTAACTTTGGAAGTCTACATACAGAATTTCGTGCTTGCCTTCTTCGGTTCTCTCTGTCCGTTTGGGCTGCTATAACAAAAACACCATTAGTAGATGGCTTAAAATCAAACATTTATTTCTCATGGTTCTGGAGGTTGGGAAGTTCAAGATCAAGGCACTGGCAGATTTGCTCTCTGGTGAGGGCCTGCTTTCCAGTTCATAGATAACTGTGTTCTCACCATGTCCTCACATGGCAGGAGGAGAAAGAGAGTTTTTGGCAGTCTCTTTTATAAGGGCACTAATCCTATTCATGGGGGCACTATCCTCACAACCTCATCATGTTCTCAAATCCCTACCTCCTAATACCATCATATTGGGAATTAGGATTTCAACATATGAGTTTGGGGGACCACAAATATTCAGCCCATAGCAATCTTCTTCAGTAATTCTTCTTTTAATTTCCAGTTGCTGTGCTTTTTTTGAGCTCTATCTTCCAGTTTTAAACCAGTAAAATAGCAGGTTTTATATCTGGGTTTTATCTCCCCACTTGGCACAAACTGTGACCTGCTATCAGTGTAAAAGCCACATAAATGGGAAATTTACCATGTGTGGTTTTTTCCTCCAAGCATTGAGTTCCCTCCAATCTCCCTGATTTTTGTCTCTCTCCAACATCTTCAGGTATTTGTTATTCTAATTTTGTCCAGAGTTGTCATCCATGGGAAGGGTTGGTCCAATAAAAGGTACTTCTCCATTATCAGAAGCTAGAATCTATAATTGTTATTTTGTTAGAACAAATTCATTATTAAAAGAGCAATTTTATAGCTAGTGAAAAGGCCAACTTGTTTATTCTCCTCTTAATATAAA